TTCTGTAAAGATTTACCACCTCAGAAAACCAATTGGGGCCACTATGAGTTGGAATCGACTGGGTGACAGTGGGTTTGGTTTGTTTTTTCCCTTGTTCCCCTGGTTCGTTGACATCCTCACCTGGAGTCTGTCTCTCCCCCTGCCCCACTCCCACTGTGCGTGTGTCTCTATGTCTAACCTGTTCTTTCTCTAACTCAGAAGTGATTAGATGTAGAACCCACCCTACTTGGGTATGATCTAATTAACACAATAAAGAAAACCCTGTTTCTGAACAATACCATATTCACAAGTATAGGGGTTAAGATTCCAACAAGATTTTTGGAGAGGGTACTGGTGTCTACAGTTTAATTCTTAACAGTGAATTTTCCCTTCCTATCCCATTCCCAAAAACTTAAAAATGTGCTAGGCATTCTTTCTGTGTATGTATGTTGTACCCAGCTGGCAGCCTGTTAACTTGTTACACATCCCTTCATTGGCTGCTGTTACACACCCTTTCATTGGCTGTTGTTACACATCCCTTCATTGGGTGCGGTTACACAGCTCTTCATTGGCTGCTGTTACATACCCTTTCATTGGCTGCTGTTAGTTGTTGTTGATTCCAACTCATGGTAACCTTACCTCTAACAGAACTTAAGGTCATGTGCTATTTTCATGATTATTGGTATATTTTAGTCCATTGTTGCAGCAAAAAAGTGAAAACAAAAGAAAAATCCACTATCATTGAGTCAGAACCAACTCATAGTGACCTTTTAGGACAGAGAACCAGCTCAGGGCTTCAAGGCCTTTCTTTAGGGAAGCCGACTGCCTCATCTTTCTCTCATGCAGCGAGTGGATGGTGGGCTAGCCAACGAGAACCCTGGGGATCCACTGGCTGTTGTTATGTGCTGTTGAGTAGGACCCGACTCATAGCGACCCCTCCTTGGGTTTCTGAGGCAGTATCACTACAGAAGTAGATTGCCCCATCTTCCTTCCCAGGACTGTCTGGTGGGTTTGAACCACCAGCCTTCTGGTTAGCAGTCAAGTGCCTTAGGCACTGCACCACCAGAGCTCCTACCTTCACAGAAGCAAAGCCCAAACCAAACCCAGTGCCTGGAGGGGATTCTGACCCACAGC